GGGGAGGGGCAGCCCTTCTCTCGGGCGCTCTCCTTCCCTGGGCAGGGTGCTGTGTATTATGAAAGCAAGAGAAGAGAGGAGAGGGGTCGCCGCTGACCCCACACTGTGGCCTGTGGAACCAACAAGGCGATCGAGGAGCCCCGTGTGAAATAAAACCGATCTGGAGAATCTAACAAGTGCCACTTGGTTGCTGTTGTCTCCTAAGTAGAGAATTCCATTTGCAAGGTAAACAGAAAAGGTCCTTGAGTAAAAATCCAGTCTAGCCTTTGTTCCTACATCTTATATTTTTAATCACAACACCAAATACTGTCTGCAGTCACTTGGTAGAAGACCCTGAATTGCTGATAACAAGGTCCTAACTGGCACACACTGAACTTTAACTTCAAAAAGACACTGGTTCAATCCATCATAGTAGGCAGACACTGCCAGAAGGTTACGTTATTTATTGAACAAACCAGGAAAACGTGGTTCTGATCACAGGTATGGCAGATACTTGAATGTAGTTCCAACACATAGCGCTAAGTTCAAATATCGCAGCTTTGGAGCCTAAAGGAGACAAGGCTTGCGGCTGGCAGCACCTCCTCAAGCTACGTAAACTTAAAAAAAAATAAGCACTTGTCTTAAAAATGAACCTGACTTTATTTTAGAAAGTCCAGGTCCACGATTCTGTTCTAGGGTCGTGGAATGAATGGGGCAGGACGGAGAAATAGAGACTAACGCTCCGTTTGCGCCCAAGATGATGGAGACAGACAGGCCGGGCTGGGAACCCAAAGTTTCACATCTTGTCGGCAGTGGGGGCCTAGCTGGGTGGAGCAGTAGAGGGTAGTAATATAAGAAAAGGAGCATTGGCTCTTCAGTCAGGACGCCTGGGTTCAAACCGAAGGCCACTCACCTAAGAGTTAAAACACATAAATGTTGCCCGGAACCTCATAAATGTTGCTGTGATACCCTCCACTAGATAGTGAGCTATATGAAGGCGTGGATTTTTCTGATTTGCTCACTCCGCATCCCCAGTAGCTCACAGTAGCCACTTGAAAAATACATGTTGAACGAATGAGTCCTGGAAAACTTATTTAACCTCTCTCAAGTCTTGGTTGCCTCATCCGCAAAATGGGTCAATAGTATCTAGCTCACGGAGTTACTGTGAGGATGAACTTAAATGAAATAATATAGAAAGCACGTAACTTCATGCCTGGCATCCAGTAAGCACCCGCTAAGCCTTACCTATTACCATTTTTAAAATTCGGTGATACCAATCGTTACAACTGAGATGGATTACTCTCTGGATCTCCACAGCAAATAGGTAGAATGATGATATTTCTGTTTGCTAGCCTGCAAAACCCTAATGTTTTCCAGGCATCTGGTGAACCTTTTTCAACGTGCACAAGAAAAATCAAATTTGCAATTCAAGCCTGAGTCCAAGTGCTAATGCATTCACGTCCTAGATTGTAAAGCAGCACTAGATCGCGGAGGTTCGAATCCAATGCATGTCCAGCATGCGACCTGAATGCGGCTGCCAAGTATTTCCTTTTCCTTGCGGGCCTAAAGTTCTCTACTGCTGGCCCTGTTAACCCAAATCTTGACATAGATTTTTATGTATCAGCATAAGGGAGTATAAGAGAGACATCACTGAAGGCATTGAAGCTATGTTATGAATTTTATGTTTTTGTTTAGTTGTGTCCAAAATAGCAGAGCGATCTTAGCATCCCACTGTCTGCCTCATCATCCTCTGCTGTATGGCAAGGTGGCCTGCGAGCCTCATCCTCTCCTGAGGGTCCTCTTGGGAGGTAGGAGGAGAGTGGGCAGGAAGAGACAAACCTGCGTGCTCAGAGAAGCCAGAGTGACTCACAAGCACTCTGTTCAGTGAGCACAAGAATGGCTGACTGCATGGGGTAATGTCCTCGTGAGCGCCTCCCCCGCCCCCAAGGACTCGGGTCGCAGTCTCATCCAAAACGGTCTTATCTTAAGAAGTCCCTGGCCCTTCTGCCTTACAGAGCTGGAAGCCTCGAAGCATGATTTGTGCCCTCATGGAAGATTCACAGACACTCTTCGCTGAGAATCAGCTTCCCTGCTCCCGTGTTACCATTATTATAAATGTTTTCTCCCATTAAGGGAAGCTGTGGTGCCAGGAGCTGAAGTATGCTGTTCGTGCAATGCCTGTGACACCATGGGCTGCTATCATGTGTCAGTTACTCGGAGGGAAACGATTCCTCATCGACGCTGGCTCCAACACCGGTGTCTCGTCTATGGTGTGGC